TCCATCCCTCCGGGGCCGGCAAATTGGTACAAGACTTGCCTGGGAGGATAGCAGCACTGGTTCGATACGTCGGTACGCTACCGCGAGTCATTGTGAAGGCCAAATATGCTTTCAGTCACCTGCAACGGTACTTATTGAAGTCGAATGTATGGCGCAACCCTCAGACACCAACTTTATCCTTTTTTAACCCTGTAATATACTTCAATTTCTGCCTTTTAACAATTAGAAGTTACCAGTGGCGCGAAATAAATATCTTAAACAGATATTTGCGGAGCATTCGATAATTAGGACAATGTAGCTATGTTAGAAAAACTTGCTGAGATAAATTCAAGGCAAAGACCTGTGTGGTGCACTCGGTAACAGCTAAGCTTCCGGAAAGGATTCGCGGCTTTGAATCTGGCCTGGGATCAAGCTTTGCAATTATCTCAGCATCATTATGGTTGTATTTCACAAAATGCGCTGCCGTGAAAAATAAGAGGCTGTAAATTAAAAGCTAATCGTAATTAGGTTACAATCAATATTTGTCGACTTTGTAAAAATGTTTCGCATTTTTGTAAAGTCTTAGTTTTGGTAACCCCTCTGCGGTAATCATACGATTCAACGCCGGTGACAGCAAACCGCTATGTGAGGCACACAGCAAGCTGAACCGTTTCGACACGATCTCCACTGTTCACCATAGAGAAACGCTCCTACCTGGTAGTAAGGAATTTTCACATTTCAATTCATAGAAATTTATCTTTGTACAAATGTTTCCTAGCAGATAATCTGTCCTAGTACTTCACTGCTTTCTTCTTTTTCTTAGGAGATAGGCGGGTTGCAGTATTTGAGAAAGCTCAGTAAAAATGATAAAGTAAAATATTAAAAATCGACTGGAACAAAATCAGCAAAGTAAAATAATTGAAGCCTCATGATGAAGAGTAAGATAAAAAGGTAGAAATAAAGCAGATAAAAGCATTGGGAAATGAGGGCTTTATATGGGCGACATATAGGCAGTAATAGGTTTTGCTTCTCGAACCTTGCCTTCAGGTTGCAAAATTGGAGAGAATTTCAAGATTTATTCCAAAAACAAGATAAATGCAGGCCTTTTCTGTAATAATTCACTTAGTTCCCTAGACGGCCTAGGCTGCGCAAGCATCGCATCCCGAGGTGGCCGCCGTCCTAAGGTGTACTAGGTATTCAGCTCAAGCATTAATTAGCCTCTGTGGATGAAAGGAAGGTGTTTTTATCAAAACTGAATTAGCATGACTACTACTCTTATAGGTTCTTATAAAAGCACTATTCCAAGGAAAACCCTTGCATTCAAACAGATGATAGTTGTTACGGAAGGGAGTAAATCGCAAAAGTACTTAGACTCGCATAAAAATCATGGTGTCTGTAGTAAAACATTTTTATCGAAGACGATAGCGAGGAAATGAAGTGGGTAGAAAATGCGCTAAGCACCACACGAGCCGTGAAAACTACCTATCCGTCTATCCCAACAGCTTTTTCCAATATTGTTATTAAAGGCGACTTAACAACAACAAAGATTAAGAAAGTGGCAATTTGCGCTACCATGAAGGCCTAGATTTTTCTTTCCTCTGATTTTTCTCGGTTTTCCTTTCCATCTACACTTCATTCTCTCTCATCTTGGTGCGTTTCTCTTTTTAGAAATTTGTTTTCACCACTTTCTGCTTCATTTACAGTACGTTATCATGTTTCCTCTTCCAATACAATGAGTCCAGTGCAGAATATTTCCTGTAGGCAAGGTGATCGAGAACTTCCAGAAGTGCAGTAGTATAAAAAACTACTAAAGCGGTAGAAGCGCAATAATTTTTTCGTTTCCTTCACTTACAGAAAAATTCCGAATTGTAATAAGCCAGCAGGTTTCTCGTGACAGCAGTTGTTTGGGAATGTCATGGCACTCTTATCTTAATTTTGCAAAGCACCAAACATCAAAAAGCTGCTAGCTCCCTTCAGTGATGCACACGACCTAGGCAGTACAGGGACAAAAAATTTATGACATTTCGTATAATGTCGACGAATTTAAGGTCGAGATGAAGAGATGGCACATAGATCCTTCCCATGACAGCGGTCATTTTTGACATTAGCTTGGCTTGGATGGGCTGTGCAGGTGCATTTACTTGTTCTTATCCTGAGTAGTTTTGACGACTTCAGGATCTAGATGACAAGGTGATATATAGATCCCTTCTATGCTTGGTTTGGCTGGGCTGTTTAGCCGCATTTACTTGTTCTTGTCCTGAGTAGCCCACGGGAAATGGCGGAGGAAAAGCTGGTCACCTGAGCAATTTCATAGTAATGTATATTGTCAAAGCGTTAAGAGTATTTTAAAAAAGCTAGCACAATTTTCATCGAACCAGACCTCACAACGCACACCTTTACAAAATGGTTTTTCATTTTTCAGACCCACCGCAGTATGTGTCTCAAGCGAGTAAACCGATAAACCGGGAATGGATGCAAAGAGGACAGCAAATAAAAGATAAGGCCACCCTAATAGGCCCTACAAGGTTCAAGGCGTCTTCGAAAAGCATCACAAACCAAATAGATAAATCTCCGTCTTCGTTTGTTTAAATCGTTTTAGTCAATGGATCGTTTAGAATTTAAGACCCTCACCCTTTCCAGACACTAAATGTTTTTCAGGTTTGAAGCCAAGTTATACTTCAGGCGTATCGTGAACGGTTAGATTCACACATTTATTTATGCAGTAATACAGCATATTCAAACAATGTCATTTATTTGCTAGACTCCTATTAAGGATCTATCGAAAGACAAAAACGAGATACCATTTTTCTTCTCTTTGTTTCTTTATGTAACATATTATGGATACATCGAGTACGTGGGTGGATGGACTATAAAATCGTCCATAAGTTGTGTGGGCAAGAAAAACTCGTAAAGCAACAGTTAAGCAGAATGAACAATGTGAACACTATGCATCTGATTGCACGCATTATATAATGAATGACAACAATGCCAAGATGTTTTGCCTTTACAAAGTGAACGAACGTGGCTTGGTGAGCTCTTCCTCAACTGATTCCTCGTTCGAGGTCTCCACTGATATTGACATCGACTCACGTCGACGACACTCTTCCTAAGAAAAATCATGCGACATTCCGATAAATCACATACTTGACGTTCTTATCAGAGCAATATTTATGACTTTTCTCCAAAATCTCATTATTCCTGTCAAATTTCTAGTTTTTAGTTAAGTCGTAATTCTAATCTGGATGTTTCAGTCTTCTTGTATCCATGGGATTTCTGACATTATGGGTGGCAAACTTTAAACAAAGTTAGATCGTAAAAACAATGACAACATTCCCAATAATTGGAAATGGTTATGTCTCTCCGACCGATAATTTCAGGCTTTACAGATGTCTATGGAAATGAATAGCTCGAACAATTAAACGAAAAAGTCATAACTTCGATTTTGACGATCGACACAACGGATAGTCCTCACAGAAAGAGGAACTTTATGAATAAATGTTCGAAATTTTGCTTCGTAAATAGCCCATGCTGCTCTCAGCTCTGTCGAACAATCTCCTAGGGAAATCCTCCTTCATCTTTAACTATTAAATATCCCGTTTGATTGCTGATGGTAGCGATCGACAGAAAACTAGCTAAGAGATAGGCGAAAAGAAGGACCCGCATGGTATAGTGGCGAACGCATTAGCCCCCAGAAAGGGTCATTGCGTGTTCGACCCCCACCACAGACACCTGCGATCAGGAGTTTCGCAAATATCGGAGCATTATCTCTGTTAAATACTCCGTTTACTAAAATATTACTGTGTGCGTAAAACTGGAGAACTTTCCATCAGTAGTACTCTAGTGGTCTAGTAGTTCTCCATCGCAAGTTAATGAACCGATGGTGGATGGCCGATTTGTTTGAGAGCTTGTCAAGAGTAGGGTGGACTTCAAATAGAAGCACATAGCCGCTCATCACTTTGTGAGAAATGTAAAAGCAATGGAGCGTCACCATTTGGTGACCATGGTGCATCTCCAGCATCTGAATGATTGAGTGAGTCATTTGCGACATCTCCTTACCTCTGTAACTGTACCAACGACGACCAATTCGCTGGATATCGAATAGATATTTTCGTCCCTAAATGACTTCATCGATCAATTATTTGTGCTCACAATGATTCACTGCTCAAGTATTTTGATACCAAACCTTCTTATCAAATTGTAAACAGATTTTTCAGAAGTAAACAAAAGAAATGGTTGATTTTACTGGCTATGCGGCTGAGAGTGTACAATTGCAGAGTAGAGAACGCAAAAAAAGAAAACTACGAGAACCTAGCAGTCTTCTTACTGTGAAAATAGTGAAAGGACAACATTCTTTACACTTAAGTTCCTCCTATGGCTGGGGAAGTGCTTAACGTACACAAATTAATCACGGTGCCAAGTTAAACGTAAACGATTCCTTGTATCGTCGAAGCAGATTGCAACTAAAAGTAGTCACGAGACATGGAAAAACAAAAGTTGATAAAGTCATAGCACACGAGTATTCCGAATTTCCATTACAGTTACGTCCGCGAACTGATAACAAGTGAGGAGTCAACAAGCTAAGACATCAAAATCGAAGATAACGATGCTTAGGAGAGCGATGAAGATCTTAGACAGTTTGACTATAGCAAACAGGTGCAAAAATAATAAACTGGAAAAAGGATGAAGGTAAAGGAGCAGAGTGGAATGGAGGAAACCAAAAAAGCCGATGGAAAGAACTGGAGTGGTGGGGAAGGGAAGGAATATGAATAAAACTTTTGAGGGAAAAATATTAGGAAAAAAACAAAGTTGAAAAAAAGGAGCGAATCCAAATACCTGTGACATAATTACTCATTTCTAGCATTCCCTATTCGAAATTATCATTTCGAAATCTCAAATAATAACTTCAATTGCAAGTAATACAGGAGATTTTCGCACAATTTCTTTTATCCTTCTTTTAAAGCCATTCTTCCTCAGAAAACCATCAACTCAGGAGTCGCTGCAGAATTCCGAGATGAATATTCTCACCTTGCATTTTCCACAATCTGATGACGTCTTATATGCTTCTCAAGCATTGCTGGGCTCTTTGAAACGTGCCTACAATGCGGACATCGTCTTGACCCTGAACTCATAGGTACATAACGTTACAACTAGGTGTGAGCAACACGATACCGTACCCTGATCGATGCTTTCCGGAAGTGCAACCCCATGACGATAGTACTTGTGGAAGTGAATGTAGCGCGCTTCTCTGGTTGTGAATTGGCAACCCGGAAGATCGCATCTAAAATAAACTGAAGAATTTTGTGGTGTTTTGTAACAACGGGATCTTCGTTATTTATGGACAACAATAATTGGTACTGGTCTTGGTGAACGATATGATAGTCCGGTTAACAGGCTCTTGTGCACTATTAGATTGAAGAAAAGTAAAAAGTAAAACACGAAAGGATAGAGCTCTCGGCGTCGATCAATCCCTGAGAGATGCGCTATGCATTTGACTTCATTAAGCATCGTTTGAATGTGACTGAATGCATATCTGGCCTTTAAAATGACTCGCGATGGCCTACCGATGTATCGAGCCAGTGCTGCTACTATCCTCCCAGACAAGTCTGATACCAATTTGCCTAATAATTTACATCTACGATAATCCACCGTTTAATGTATCAATAAGGATTGCAAAAAGAGACATACCAAAAATCTTAAGGAGATGCCAATATGTTCGAAGGGCGAATCACTCGAAATTACTCGTGGAGACGAATAAACGAACTCACTTAATTGGAGGGTTTCGATGGTAGATTGTTACATGATACGAAACTGAATTGTAGCGACCGTATATTTTCTTGCACACGATGCACATAAATCCTTCTTCGGTTTTCTCAATGTACTTCTTGTTTCGACACCATCCTGAACTGTAAATTATATTCCAGTTCGAATAAACTGCTAACAACGCTTAAAAGACCTTCTTTATCCGTACTGGGAATGATGACATCACCCATGTTATCAAACAATCCGTCACTGTCTAGCGAATGCGACTTTTTCATTTCCCTGTATTCACCGGGCGCTCTACGCTTCTTACAGAACTTCTCACTCAGAGGTACTTGTGCTTGATTAGCCGTATTTAAGTGGAACATAAACATCTAAATGTTCGGCATAGTACAAAAAAAGAGAACAGCTAATAAGAGATAAAAAGCGGTCTACCTGAAGCAAATTCGAGGCTTGTAGTTGTGACTGTAAGCTCATGAAGAGAAACGGATTCGGAGCTGATGGAAACAGTGGAGCTGGAGAAGGCAGATAGGGTACGGTGAGCATTGTTGATAGATGAGAAGCTGAAATAGAAATCGCTAAAAGATGCTAGCTGCCACGTCAAAAAACGTTCACAGCGGTAACTAATTCACGAAGAACAAAAGCCATATAGAACCTTTTTATTCTTAATTACGTAAAATTGTTATATCTTCGCATTAATTTAAACCACGTGGACGTAGGAAGTCGTCAAATGGAAAGCTTTCTCATTATAAAGCAATGAGGGATAATTTTTCATTTGACCGTTGGAAGATAGAGTGTTATGGTCCTTTTCATAGCACTCACTTAAAGCTATAAAGATCTTTACTACAGCCTCCAGGTTCGATTTGTAAAGTTACTACAAAGCCTATTTTTTACACTAAAATTGACAGAGTTCAAGAAAATGGCACCTGGTCTGAGTTGCGATGCTGACAAATTTTCACGAGCTCTTTCTTGGAGAGGAAATATCTGGCATTCATCAGCCACGGCCATCATCTTAATACATGATCTTCACCTGTCGCTATTGATTTCAAGGCGAACGTTCAATTCGAGTTACCTGTTCTGATGAACAACTAGTGGTCTCAAAATCTCCGTTGTTAAGAAAATTCATCGCCTCACTGAAAGCCAATTCTGCGTTTGCTGTTGTCAGTTGTAATTGTAGATATCGAGTTTCCTACCAAATACAAAACCGAATAAGCTATACAACATTAGTAAAATCATATGTAGTACAAGGTCAAAGTGTTGTTAACAAAGTCGTCGACTATCATTATCAGCAGTTTGGAAGCAGACAGGACTTTTATGGTGAAGAAATGTGCCGCACTCAGCTTTCTAATCGCCTTTGTACAGCGTTTTATCGATGACTTCCCGAGAACACGTAATGTCAACCGCCTACTGTTATCAGAAATAATCGTAGACCATGTGAATTCTGCCAGATTACGCCGGAAATGAGCACTTTACTTGGACTTTTGTAGGAGAAGCCTACGACAGTAGCTCCTATCCACTCCGAGAACTCTTTCACAATTGCACGAAATCTACAACGGTTCTTTCGAATTCAACTGCGAATGTCTAGTTCTTTGTTCTTTGCTCCTAGTATAAATAAACCATTAAATGTCAACAAAATTTGTCATTTTGCCTGATTTTTAATTTTTAGTGATCACTAGAAAGGTGTACTGTTTTCCTCTCTCTCTAGATACTCAAAACGAGAACACGAAAAACATGTTATAAAAAATATTGGGCAGAAAACTGGTGAAGGTTTCACAACTCTGTACAGACTTAACTTTGTGCAAAATCAGGAGGTTCTTTCCTGCATATCTTTTAGAATCACTAACCTGACCGTAATCAGTTTTTAAGCAAAATCCCTCTCCTAATTCAAATTGATTACGAAGGATATTTTGTGGAAAGGGTGTTTATTCAAACCCATTCGATTAAAGTCAACCACTACAACTGATAACCGGCGTCGATATTTCAACGATAAAGTTTCAGCTTCCGGACAGTTAAGTGAGGTGCGGACCATAACAAATAGTTACCATACAGCATCGAAATAGGCTAAAGATAATGGGAGATTTTCAGTACGAAGGAGAGTAGAAGACTCTGAGGTGTAACAAAGCCCATAGAGTTTGGTATATTTCGCTCAGCAAGAATGTTTTGGGGTCGGATGAGTATAAACGTCGGTCTAAGCGTAACGAATGAGATCCAGCATCAAACAAATGAACAGTACATCATATTTACCTGAAATTCGTTTGCTGAAAGAAGAGCGGCAAATAATGGACTCGCTCTTCGAAGCTGCTCTTCGTTGCCGGCAATCGGAGCAGCTCCATTGACGGAGACAAGGCAGTCAGGAACAGGGCCATCCAAAAGGGTAGCATAAAGAGCTGGAGGTGGTCCAAGAATTCGTTCCGATGACATCTGGAAAAGCGATGACGCAGATTCAGAGCGCAAGTTGTAGCTGTTAATATGTGAAAAGACGACGAGCATAGTTATTGCAGTTAACTAATTCAACCTAAAGTGCATCGAATGAATTTCGATGCCATACGATGTGCATTCAGGTACGACACTCAGTTTCTCATATTCTTAAGAAAATCACTGTTACTATCTATATTTTTACGACCGATTTGTACGGAACGGCGAAAAAGCTCATTTGTTCAAGAATCTATTAATAGCATTGGAAGCAAATTGATGACTAAGTGAAAGTAGAACTACCATAAATGTTGTGTAAACCTCCTACGCATTTATGATCAGTCAACAACAGTGTAGGCGATAACAATCTACCATGCCAGATCCGCCCATTGCCAGTGGGACATGAATCTCTTAAGACAAATAAGGGCTACAGTAAACAGTTTAAAAGTGGACCAAATATTAATCACCACTAAGAAGGAAACTTTGCCCTTACCAATGCTTTCATTTTTTGCCATAATATTGTATATACTATTTAGAAGGACCTATAGCACCACTAGTATACACTATTGAGAAGCAATAAAACTGCGGAATAAGTGCAAACGAGCAAAAAAAGAGGAGGAATAGGAGGAGTTCAGAAGATTATAGACTGCGGAAGTGGTGCAACATTCAGAACATTTTTGTACCACTTTTGAAATCAAACATGTCATTCAGATATTCGCTTCAACAGAATCCCTCCTAAAGGCTCCTGGACGCTTTACTGAAGAATATACCGTTCACTTAATAAGTATAAATTTCATCAACAAATTTTTTTCTTGTTTTCTTGGCATGTTTTTCATAAATGAGAGGATATTTTTCAAGGAAGGCGGTATAAGATACTGAACAACGCCGCTATTAGTAGAAAGTTGGTCCCGGGAAATATTTTACATAAAATCAATTGTTTACCATGGACCACTGATTCCATAGCAAATCGCGAATGGAACGAACTGCCTCTGGTTAAAAGTTGGTTCCTAGTAAAAAAGAATGAACTGAGTTAACATCGAGCACAATCACAGTTAGCATTTATTGGACAAATAGATATTTAAACTTTATCTAATCTGTGCTCGAACAAGGACAATCGTAGAATCGAGCGCATGACAACGACAGCACAAACACTGTAGAAGCCGTCACAGTGGAATGATCCGGAATTGTGAGAAGAACTCGTCGTACAGTATGTGGAGCGCTTCGACTTTCCGAGAGTTCAGCTGCAGGCACCGCCCTACCGTATGCCGTGCGAGGATGCGGCCTCCTCACTGGTCGTCGAGGGAGGCTGGCCTGCGCTTCGCACAGGCGGGTCACGGCCGTTAACGGAGCCGTGGCGGCGCTGATTCACGGTACTCTTCCTAAGTGATATTTGCTATCCTAGCGGTTATGGACAAGTCCCGTACGCACACATGAACACACAAGTCGACGTCTATAATCACACTTTTCAAGAAAACAATATACGCAGTCATCATCAACCATATGCGACTATGATCAGCTGTTCTAGGCTTCCTCATTGGAAGTTACGTAAAAAGTGGCTCTGAAGAAGGCGATACTGCCGAAACGTCGGCTAGTATTGTATTGTATTTCTTTATGGAAGTAATAGACACAGTACTTAGAATGCCCGAAGTCCGCACCCTTATCAGATTACACAGGTTCGACAACATAATCTTGTTTAATGCCATAATTTTCGTGTCGGTTTTAGACCATTTCTGTACAAAACTCGTGATCTTGATATTTAATGTAAAAGCAAAACACTTTTCTACTTCTAGTTTGCAACTTCGACATTCTTCAAATTTCATCGAAGCACTAGTGTTAACACTCTCGTAGCAATATGCATGGATTCCAATGCACATGTGTTTCAGAGCAACGAATCCCTCCTTTGTCAAGCAGTAATATCTTAGTTTATAGTAAACTGTACTAATTAAAATGAAAATCGCTAAAAGCTACAGATCGCTGTCAGCGATATAAAACTTCTCTGACTACGAGGACGACGATGAAGGTCTAATTTTCGATGTTTGTTTTTCGAAGTGCAAAGTAAATGAAAAATTGGGATTTCGTCCATTCAAACTCCACGACCTCTCCGAATGCTTCGTAGCTGTGACTCCTTGGAGAGTTAGACTTCGTTTCAAATTGTCTAAAAAATTTAAAAATTCAGCAAACTTAAAACAACAAAAATATTTTGGATAAAAACTTTCATTTTCAGTGATCTAGTCAGTCTTTCCTAATAGTTAAGCTCTCAAAACTTTGGATGTTCCGGTTACTGAAAAATCGATACCGTCGCTAACATAATAAAGATTTACACACGGTCAGCTACAAGAAGAACATCAAGAGTGGGGAATAAAAGGATAAAGGACAAAGCTCACGACGTTGGTCAACCCTTTAGGGATGCACCATGCATTCGACTGCATTAAACATCGATTTGGAGATGACCGAATGCTTATCTGGCCTTTACAATAATTCGCAGTGGCCTAGCGATGTGTCGAACCAGTGCTGCTATCCTTCCAGACAAGCCTGGTATCAATTTCCCATCCCCGAAGGGACGGAGGGCTTGGTGAGCCATGGGACGCTTATGTGCATTGTTGGGCGTCTCCAACTACTGCGCCACGCGCGCTCTGAGTTGATAACAATTTCTGTGACTGCTTAATCGAAATCGAAAAAAAAGCGCTTAATTTATTTTCAAGTACCGCCAAAAGTTAGGAAATACGGAATTCTACGAACACTAAAGATAAAACTCAACGTAATTACATCATTAAAAAAGAACCAGAAACACTTTTCAGTACTACTGAGTATGTTTTAGGTCCTATGCCAGGACTTCGGTGGATGACTTTCCAAACCGAACTCACGAAAGAAATTTGTGTGGAAAAAAGAGTTCGACTCGACAGAACGATGTATTTGGAGTGCAACGAGAAGTGATGGTGATAAACACTATTATCGCAGGTCACCGGGTCAAAACATCTACGCACCACCTCCTCTGAACTTAAGACGTTTGGTGGTCCAGAGCTTTTCTTTATTGAATGTGGCAATCTTGTTCTCCGATATGAACGCGTTCGTTGATGGTTATTTAGTGTAACATCCTAGGGGAAGAAGAAGACAAAGAGCTTGCGTTCTGTTAAGACGCAAATCCATTGGCAACCTATCTTTCCGCTTGCTATAAAATATGGTTAATACTGTTCGTCACTCCTTTATTTTGTAGGACTTGTTCTTGTTTTCTCACGACTGAATATCTGTAACAGCTTCGCCTTACTCGTGTAATTTACATGTTAGCACAATAAGTATAAGATGCCTAGAAATACTTCCTTACTTCTAAGATTCCACCAGTTGAATGTAATTCATCTCTTCTTTCCGCATTGGTGAAAACCATAGATCTGGTTACAACTAGTGTTAAGGCGCTCTCTAATCTTAAGGTGGTCTAAGGCAGAAATTTGTTAAATCCACGTCTGCAAAATAGTGCCATACATGCTTGAGAGATGCTCCATCAGGTTCACAAAACCCGGCAACTGTTGGTGATGAAAACTTTGATATGATTTAGCGGAACTATGCAATGATGTCAAGAGCAAACAACACTAACACCATTCAATGATGTCATTGAAGAAGACAAACTCCTCAGTCGAATCAACATACAGATCTAAAGACCTTCACGGACCACGAGTGTAAGGCGATGAGACGAATGAGGGAAGCGCTCAGATCTGCATAACATGAAAAGCGGGGTCGTACATAAAAACAATGAACGAAATTTTTGTCGGTTACTTCGAAGAACATATTAAGTTCATTTACAGCAAATGCGGATCAATATATAGATAAATAAGACGAAATCCGCTACGGTAACATTAACATCATCATCAAAGTGGTTGTTCGACTATGAAATCCAGTCAGTGTTTTACAAAAAAGAGAATCATGCGATGTGAACAAGCAAGACGAGTACAGTTGTGTTAACTTGTAGCACAAGAAAGGAACAGTCCAAGCACAAGTATTACTAATGGAAATCTAGTATCCTGGGTAAAATAAAGGCCAGATCAAGGGTAATAAACACTCAAGAAATTGATAAAACAGTGTTAGAAACGACGAGTGCAAGTAACCTTGGAATATTATTCACTGAGATCTTAATTTAATTCAGTACTTTTTACACTTTAAATTTTCTTGCATAAAACAAACACTTAGAAGCGTATAATTAAAAGGGGAAAAATTATGCTATTATACAAGAAAGCTTAGACATCGTAAATATATACAGAAAGGTGATCTGGTAAATAGGAAATGAAAAAGGCAATCAAGCGCTACGATGTTACAAATGCAAAAATCCATAAAATGAAGGTGAATGTTGAGAATTAACTAATAGGAGGAAACGAATATCATCACAGTTAACAAGTACTCACAGTAACGCAAAAAAATTTAAGAGCTAATGGAGTAGTACGAAGAAATTGGGGAAATAATAACCACACGACGGCTACCATATAAAAATAGCCCATAATGATATTGTCACGCCAAGAAGCAGTCAAAACGTCGTTGTGGTCACAATCGTTCATATTACCAACACATGCATGGTCATCACCAGGAAGTTGCTAGAACAGCGAATTATTCGGGAAGAAATTCGCCGTATTTAACAATGTTTCGAAACGTAATGGAGTTAGGAAACATACATTCCTGATTAATAACAAGTAAATCTGCAGCTTGATTATAGATAACTACAGAAACCCTGTCAGCTTCGCCTCGTAGAAAGCGAAGAAGAGCACTGGCATCTAGAAAAAGAAGAAACCTGTAGATAATTCAAATTCTATAAAAGGATATAGAAATGTAAGACCATCAAAAATTTGCTTCCTGGGAAATTTTTGGAAATGATATTTAAAATGCTCCTATAACTACTTGATACTTGCTACTTGAATGGTCCGTTCTCATTGGTTGTGCATAATCTCCATTTCTTCGGAGGTTTGCTGGTTAAGCCACTGTGGTTCCCTGGAATCCTGAGGTCAGCCTGGTCAAAGTCTGCCCTAGCTCTTCACCACGATAGGCAGTCGCAATCGTTGTGGATCAGAGGGAGGTTTGCCATCAAGAGACTAATTTGATACTACGACGACGCTGGATCCTGGTATTGGTTTACTCGTAACTAAACTTCCTGATGGAAATGCCTGACTCATTCTCAATTTGGGAGACCCTTCAGGGGGATGAATCCCCCGCTGTGCTTCGCAGCACGAGACCCAAGAACACCTCCCACCACGATGAGGCGGTAAACTGTTGGGAGTATGCTCCTATAAGTACCAACGAATATCAATAAAACGCCTGAGCGTGAACTGCCCACGTACTAGACACATGATATTTAACTCGTTATAATCAACATATTGATCGTTTTAAATATCCCCGTGAATACAACAACACCACCTCGAATTTCACACGACGATTCGTGCAGCTGTAATTTAGTACTTTACTAATTTCTGGGAAGTTTGCTTTCGCTCCAAACCATCCCGTTCAATTAGAAATGCTGTCTGTTCTTTTTTAGACAAGCATGAAATACGTTGAAAATCAACAGACACTTGCAAAGCCTCCCCTGTGTCAGCAACGCCTCATTCCATGATGGTGTTTGTACCGTGGGCGCCACCAGAATCAACTATACAGCTATTGTCTTCAACTGAACCCCTTTGCCGGTCAGTGTCCTCCGCAGAAGCGAGTTTAATGAGGTCCATGACATCCATTCTGAAAACTAGATAAACGTTATTGGATAGAATTCACTTGAAATCTCTGTTCACGAAATGTGAACTCGACTATTGACATTGTCAGATATCGCTGTAGATATAGTGTGCCGAGTGGCAAAAACAAACCTTTTGAGTTACAACGAAACTTCGGAATGCGTCAGATATGGTAGAATAGGATTTGAAGAATCAGAAAAGACTGACAAAATTTTCAAATTTCACACCTTCTGCTAGGACGCCGGCAGAACTCTTGTTGGCCCTCAACAAACTGTCCATTTTTCGCGCGTCGTTGAAGTTCGACTTTGGGATTACGTGGACGTTGATTCTAAAATGCTATTTAACCACTAAAACTCGAGCAGAAAAGCAGATTTACTACACTAAGTAGAGCATTATTACCAATAAAGTTTTCGATTCAAACGAATTGGTAGATGTCTGCTGAGGCCTTGACCGACTCGCACGCCATTCAGTACTACAAGAATGGTTAGTTATCCTAACGAATATGTGTAGCGTACAGTAGCGTATCAAATAATCTCAAAAAATGAAAAGAAAGACAACACACTTGTGAAGAAATCGTTCGCCGCGGTTGTGTCCTCTAGAGTTAAGGTTAGGGTCGACTGCGATGGCATGAGAACAGTATTCTGTGAAAAAATTGGATACTGACCAAAAATCAGGCTAATATATTATTGGTAAAATGTACCGAACTGTGGATTCGAGGAATTTCGAGAAAAGCGACCATCGGTATTTCTCTGCAAAGTGGCTTGCAAAAATCCTTTACGATTAATCATGAACATTCATTTACAAACAAACAAAATTTTATGAATAACAGTTTTTTATTTGAGGCACAAACGTCACTCAACTACGGCCTCACAGGGAGAACCACTCCATTTGATTCACTTCTTTAAATTTCAAACACTTAATGAGAACTAAAAACACCATACTGATACATTAATGGAAACATGGAAGTCATTGTACAGACCAAACATCCACATTAAATTATCTATGCATAGTGGTGTCGAAGGGATTCGTTTTGCACTTTTATCCCATATGTAAATGAACCTACATCATTGGAATATGATAGCGCCTCAAATCGGATTAAATAAAAAGCTCACAAATGCCGAGTACATGAAAGGACTGTGTTAGGACCACATACACTAGGTAAACCGCAGATTCATTAGAAGCGAATAATGTCAAGGAGTTAATCTACGTCTTTCGAAAGAGATCGGGTGGTGGTGCTGAATCGAACCAGCATTGTGCTCGTGATGATCGGCATCAATACCACTGTTTTATTAGCCTCAATAAGATTATTTAGTGTTCCCTATTAACTTGTGGAAACATTAACGAATATACACTTTATTTATTAACTGATAGGTTTTCTTTTTCAAATTTAACTATGCGATGCCGAGTATGTAAGTGCAGAACAATTGTCTCTAGTAGAAATTTCGTCAGTGGTTTACCAACTTCTTGTAGTTGCTATGTGGTGTCCTAAGGTTCCCACTTAAGCCTACAAGAGCAGCACAGATGTTTCCTCACCCGTTTCACTAAGATAAATCACTCGCTTCGGGGGTCAGTCGCAAAAAGAAACGTGTCCAAAAAGATTTTGTTTACAAACGGATTTTTTTAAAACAATTATTGCTTGCTAACATCGTTGTCATTAATACATTACGAAATTTATTCCCTGTGCAGCAATATCGCATGTGACTTTCTTTCCTTCTCATCTAGTTCACCCATCTAAGCCCGTTTTAAATGAGGTACATAAAAAAAAAATTAGTAACGTTGTTCTCCTTGAGTTCAAACGTTGATATTGAGCCAAGCTAGCAACTCCAAATGTCACCAAGACATGGATAAAAAAAGAAGGGGCTTCCAAAGCACGATATTTAGATAGGTCATAAAGTTTCGCACCTAATATATGAATCTTTACGACCAAGGTGTTGTACGTCTATAAACTGCTAAAAACGACACTTAAAGCTGATAAACGCACATCTAATAGTAATGGGAGGAGCTGTAAAAGCTCGATATCCATAATCCAATAACTGGTCATCATTTCCAAGACATTACAATGGTACAAAAAAAGAAAAGCTCGATAGCTGTATGACGCGTGAATTGAATGGAGTGCAGCTTGAATGACTCTTCTGCTCTGTGCTTCTTCTAGGCAACAAGGACGATCAACTTTTCGACAGCATAGTGACGTGTTGTAAACACGGATCGCAGACGACAGTCAAGCTCAGCTCAGCGGAGAGACGAAGTTAAGCAATTTCATAGGTATAATTTGCACTAAAAACATGATTGACTTTTCCATTCTCCGCAGAAGTAGTGATCCAATAGAACGTCTTAAATCTTGAAGAAACAACAAGAATACCGTCACAAAATCAGTGAAGTCATAGAAAGAAAGAAAACCTATAACCTATGGATCGAGTCATATCCTACAGAAAGGTCCCATCCTTTGGAATGACAATGCTAGACCAACAACTAAAACTGCAAAAGCAAAAAGAGCTCTCGACTATTACCGAAAAAATTTTCAACAACCAGACCACCATTAAATAGCCCTTGGAAATCTCGTCGCATCCAGAACGTCACAATTCTAAGCTATCGCAGCAAAAAATTACAACCATAACGATGCTGAGTTATTTGCAAAAACTTGGACCTGTGGCCAAACCGAACCGTGCTTACCCTTTCCGGGGGCTCATGTGTTACGGACTGTACCATTGAGGACCTCGTTACACCTTTCTCTTAGCCATTCATCTTACCCTAGCAATGCCATAGGCAATCAACCGTCAATGAGAATGATCTGGGAGCACAAATTCTTGAGGAGCAAATTGTGCAAATATCTCAGAATCATTGCGGTTGCATTTCACATTATACCCTTTGTGAAAAAATAATGGACCGTACACAAAAAAATATATTTCGCTGGAAAAAATATGCAGAGAACATAAATCAAATACAATCCGGCATCATCGTAAATGTGTTAAAGTGACGTCAGTGGTATCGAATTAGTAAGTCTCCTAAGGCGTTCACGAAACAGGACTTGGTGACCTATCCATGTACAGAACAACGACAGTCACTTCGGAAACTCAAGGATTAAATTTATAACACATATTGGTTAATTAAGACTTGAAAATGTGACATACACATGTTCTGCGGTTTATGAAAGATCAGAATTTCATCTCAGTAACGGATAAAAGTGTAAAGCTCTCGGCGTTGATCAATCCTTGAGGGAAACGCAATGCATTCGACTCCAAAAATCATCGTTTGGGGTTACTGAATGCATTATGTGGCTTTAACAATGATCGCGGTGGCCCACCGATGCATTGAGTCAGTGCTGCTATCCTCCTAGACAAGTCTTGTACCAACCCCAGAGGGATGAAAGACTTGGTGAGTCACAGGCGCATGAATCTATCCCATTTGTGTATTGCAGAGCACCTCCAACCAGGCCACACGCTCCCGTTATCTCGGAAGAATGAGAAAACATATTTGGTTGGCGAACATCTGCAAGCTCAACTTTTTCTCTGTTTATAAACTCAATATGAGCTAAAATGTACCGATTTAAGCTTGAAAGAGGCTACTATTTTCGAACCATACGCTTTGAAATCACAGCATATCATCACGAGTGCGTTGACTAAGACAAACGCAACAATCGTTGATTTTGCAGAGGCCGAAAAAACAAAAAAACTTGGCATTTTTTTACTGTTTAATAGTAATGTGAGCAAGATGATACTGGATTTTTCTACATTGAACGACAAATTTTCGACAGGTAGAGGACTTTTTTAGGTTGAGACTGAGAACTTCACGAACTTATAGAAGAGGTTTTAGTACATTAGTGCACCGAGCAGACAGATCTTATCAAATATCCGTTTTCCTCACAACGGAACGTGTTACAGAGAAGGTTGTACAAGACTACGGAACTAAAATTTCGTTTTATACTCGTAACAGTCCCTTCACAACTGTATATTTGGTATATTACGTGGTGATGGATCATGTGCTATTCGCAAGGCGAAGAAAAGTATCTTTACGCCGTTAGTTGGTGCATGTGTCTTCCTTTGGCTGAGTTATTGCACTCTGACGATAGCTGTTGGAAGAATAAAGAACAGACTTCCAAAGGTTATCCACCAGAAGTTAAAGAACGGACAGTTGATCGAAGCAATACAACGGCGTTAAAGTGGAAGGATAACATATTCGGATACTTGGATACATGGACAGCCTGTCCTCACTGGTTGTGTGGCCCACAGCACAATCTCCATTTTTGGCAGTTTTGCTGGTTTACCTATTGTGTCTCCATAGAATCCCGAGGTTAACCTAGCCAAGATCTGCCCCAGGTCATCACCACCACAGGCAGTCGCAGCCCTTGTGGACTAGAGTGAGATTTTCCATCATGCCACTAGTTTTATACCAGGACGGTGGTGGATCCTGGTATTGGTTTACTCTTATCTGGGCTTCCTGATGGAAACGCCGGACTCCTTGTCAGCTTGGGAGACCCTGTCGATGAATCCACCGGGTGTACATCGCTGGCCGACACCCAGGAACACCTCCTAGATAAGATGAGGTGGGAAACCACTGGGAAGGGAAGATAACATAGACACAAAAATATAATAGTGCCTGTGGGACCAAGACATTCAACCCATTCTCATGGAAACCGTCTCAAGGCTAATGAGGGTTACAACCAAGAAAAGCTTACTACGAATAGAAGCGAACATTGGGAGCTCAACTATACGGCTCTTTTTCTTTCTAGTCTTCTGATTTTGGCAAACTATTGAAAGATCTATGTCGAGCAAAACATACTCTCGTGAGATCCATAAACAGTACAAACGAAGAATGTTGCTGGATAACTTCAAAATGGATGTCTACTTGCGCCACATTGTAAGCAGTAGCGCTTGGGCACCCTCGACTTCTTTCGTTGAAGAAAGCGGCACTATGATTCCGAAAAATTGGAGACGATGTGTAGAAAACTACAAGGCAATTACAGAGCAATATGATTGGAAATATCTAACGGTAGAATTAGGAAAACTGACTTTCCGTATGAACAGTCAAAAAAGGGAAGATACTGCATACTCGACGATCAGATGGCCCTGCATAAGATTCAAAAATAATGGCTAGCAAAAAGAATATCATGGCTCGGGCATTATGCGATATCAATCAATTAAACAAACGACAATATCTTGTGCAGATATTTTGAATATGTATATACAAGTGAAGCTGGTATTTAGTATGAAGTACGTACGGTCCAGATTATCTGAGTGAAGAAAATCGGTCAACAACCCTAGCACACTACATTTACCACCAAAGAAAAAACGAAATATAGTATTAAAATACTTGAACAGAATTAGATTAGTGATTAGTGACTTCCACGACTCAGTTCGGAGAAATCAAGACAATACGAACGAAAGCTCTGAACAAATTGAATTTCTCTACTCACGTGTACTTCACCGCGGCATCGTAACGCAAGGTGATGTTTGGAATAAGGATTTGGTCCAAAGCGATTCAATCGGGAAGAATTTCCCTGAAAAAGCGGTCGTAATCCGGCGATTGCTAACATAAAAATGGAAACATAGATTATAGTATCATCTTTTGACGCACCCGCCGCTCGCCATAGTTATTCCTTGGACGCGCAGGTTGAAGAAGATCTAAAAGTTCATTATGCGGATCTAAATGAACACTTAAATGACCATTTGTGCTCAGTCAGCACCTTTCCGGAAGTTTGTTTTCTTCATGTGATTTCCGTGATACATTTTGTATTCAATTAATATTGACCTAAGAAAATGTTTCGCGAGTTGTAGTGCGCAAAAACTTATTCTCTATACTTAGTAATTTAATACACAAGACCTCTTTTCGCATGAATTCATTCGTGTGGTTTGAATACAACGGTGATTACTTGAACCTCTACTGTAGCTGCATACTATAGCTCGAAATTTAAGCACATTTCATCGCTACGACTAGACGTCAATGAATTGAAGAAGCCTGTAGAGTAGTATTTTTAATATCTGAAAGAACTAAGCATGTATAAGGGGACGGTGATAGCGTGGTGGTTAGTGACGTCGTCGACAAGAAAGAAAGGCGCAAGTTCGACCCCCGCCCCAATGGTTTCCTCCAATCCACGTCAGAACGTCTTAGTCAGGTTATCTTCAATATTGCAAGAATAATTCGACTCAACCAGAATTCTACAACATTCATAAAGAAGATGAAATCTTCAAGCTGCATCAGAAACAACTCGCGAATGTTCGATGATCATTGCGGACGATGAATGCGAGTGAAACGAATTGAATGGAAGAAGTGCTGGCATGCGCATAGATGTGATGACGAGTCATGTAAAAGAAAAAGCGTGCATACGTGCATACATACAATGCATCATCGCTACGTGAAGTGCAGCTTTGGGAACATTGTAAATGCTCATCTGTTATCCCATCAATATTTGAATAATATTCTAAACGTAAACATTTACATTACGATCTAGAATTTGTAACATTTGAGAAGTGTAAGGGTGAGATATAATGTGCAATAATACACGCATCCTCGCTGGTTTGACCTCATAACCAATGAACCAGTAGTTCCATACTTCCAAGGTTCGCTAATAGAGTTCTCTGGGGAAAGCACCCTTCGATCCAGAAAGGCCGGCATCTGCGCGTAGGTGAAGAGCTGGAAACGCTCTAACAGATCTATTCTAGTTTTCCAAGGAGCTTCAAATCAATCAGCACTCAACGACATTCATGAAGGCTAGGTCCTCAACTGGCAGCCAGGTCCAAATACAAGTATGAAGGCCATCGCTGATTACGGGTGCAAGACAACGATTCGCATGGGGCAACAGCTGTATTCTGCAAAATATACGAAGTCGTGTGAGGTAAATAAAAAACTGATACAACCATAATGTTGCTGAGATATTTGCAAAACCCCGGACCGTTGGTGTATGTGATGGAGACCGAACATGCTATTACTTTTCCGGGGGTAACGCGTTCACTACCTATGCGCGTTCACTATGCGGGTCTCTCGTTTCGCCTGTCTCTCAGCCGTGTTATTGACCTATAGGCGGTGTATGCAATCACTTGTCAGTGGGAATGAGCCAGAGAGCTGCTGAAAACATCTAATAAACACTTTTCGCGTGCCATTTGGAATCAACGTAGCTCACTACTCTTTCAACATACACTTTTTTTTACAGATAACTTACACAAATCTATAACAACAATTCCACAAAATATAAAATTTCAGCTACGCAGACTATCTAAACACCTTTTGCAATTCGTGCTCCAATAATTCCTCAACCCTGACGGTCCAACAATTTCCAGTCGAAAGGATTACGCAACAAAGACATTTAATCACGTTTACGGGACTTCATGATTAACCCTCAATCTATTCCTGTTTGACAGTTTCTCTTACAAGATCTCAAACATCAATGAAGAACAATTCATTGAAATGTACTTGCTCTGTGCACAAAACAGCAGCTGGTTCATTCCATAGTGATTACCACTGAAAATTCAATTGTCATGACGCACACATTTTACCGCACTCGCCGCCTGCTCCATCATCACTTACCACTCGTAGATGTTAAAAGCAAGTACTAAGTGCTCATTAAATCATCTATCAAATGAAATCGATGCCAGCATTCCCCAAGATTTCAGGCTTATTTGTTACTGTAAACGATAAAGGATTAACCATTCGGTTTTGATCAAACCCTGAGGGATGCAGAATGCATTCAGCTTCGATAAGCATCTTAGAGGTGAATGAATGCGTATCTGGCCCCTATAGTAATTTCCGGATAGAACTGGAGAGATAAAAATAGAGAGATATAAAAACAAAAGAAGAAACTTGGTACCTTTGCCCTGCGTAGTGTTCTGTTTGTTAGTGTAACGTGAATTATATTTTTCATAAGAATAGTTTTGCGGTGATGAATGTCTACTTCGAGTTGCTGCACCCACAGCACCTAAAAATTCTTCTAAAAAACTGACTCTATCTTTTTGACTGAAACAGTATCGCAACCAACGGAAGGATGCTCCATTTTCAAGAGTGTTCAGGTATGCTGAAGAATTTGTATCGATGGATGTTTCAATGCGCTTACGTCTACTGGATGGAGCTATAATTTATCATATGTCAAATACAGTTAACTTTTGCCCAAAAAAAAACTACTGCTCCACATTTGAAAAACCACTTACCAGATGAAAAGTTCTCATGCGAAACGGCCGGACATTCTACGGATTCTACTAACTGATCAGAAGCACCTGCGTGGTTAGAAATATTTCCTTCCAAGGAATGTGACGATGAAGTAACGGTAGGGTTAAGCACTGAAGGTAATGTGGGAAGAACAAGAGAGCATGGCTCCAATCGACACTAAAATATGTTAAACTAATGACGTAGAGATTAATGACAAATTTAACTTCCTAGCTAAAAGTGGATTGGAAACAACGCATGAAAACTACATACACATACCTTAATGTCTTAAAAAGCAAAAGGCAAGAATAATCTGCAGTAATCTAATCAATGTTTTGCTTCACTGACAGGTGAACATGAACTTGTCATAGAAATTTATCTGGCTGACGATTCGGCTCATTCGCCATATTCAGAGCAGTAAATAACTTTCCTCCCAAAGGTTTGTCGCCTCATCGTGCTTGGGAGGTGTTCCCGGATGTCGGGCTGCGATGTACAGCTCGGGGAATCATCCCCCTCCTAGAAGGGTCTCCCTAGTTGAGGAGTCCGGCGTGTCCATTAGGAAGCCCAGCTAAGAGTAAACCAACACAACAATCCACAATCGTCTTGGTATCACACTAATCGCATAATAGCAAATCTCCCTCTGATCCACAAGGGCAGCGACTGCCTTTGGTGGTGACGACCTAGGGCAGACTTGGGCCTGGCTGACCTTTGGACTCTAGGGAACCACAATGCCTAAACCAGCAAAACTCCGGAATAGAGATTGTGCTGAGACCCACACAAACAGTGAGGACGTGCCATCCAAGTATCTAAGTAAGTAAGAGTAACTTTCTACCTCATCGATGAAACAAGACAGTGGCCAGATTATTCATACCGAAATTGATGATCGGTTGACAAAATTACATGTAACATTACGGAGTAGCTATCTTACATACCCTGAAATTCACCTCACATGCATATTTCATGAGGTCTGGGACAAGTGGCAGCATCTCAGCATAATCCGTTGGCGTCACCATAGGAATATCATCCCCGCGTTTGAGTACACGTCTCATAACGGCATATAATGCGCCCACATTGTACTCACTTGTTCGAAGAGATATGTAGTGCTGAAACGGATGGACATCGAATTAAGAACTAGAACACTACAAAACAATAACACACCCTCGTTTGATCGCCTGGAAGAACCGTGACGGACTCGAGGTCTGAGGGCACAACGCTTACGGAGACGCGAAGTAGTTCATCATAAAATTTTACTATACGATTCTGAAAGAGACAATAGGAACTTGAAGAGTCAAGTTTAATTGCTAAATGCATAAATTGCATACTTCAAGGCCTCAGAATTTCAATTCTTGAAAAAGTAAGAGAAAAAACATGCAAATTATAACTGAAAATAACAACTTTATCTTCTATTTTAGCGCGAAGGTCCTCATTTCCAGCATGAAAACATAGCTGCATAGGAAGCAAACCCTAGAATAATAAATACTTCCCAAACAAGATTCAAAAACAACTTGTGACCAGAAAACCTGTACAAAACGACGGGCTTTTAATATAGCTTCTGGTTGGCCAGTAAAGAAGAAGAAGACAGTTTGTGGGAGTTCTTCCGACTGAGATGGGAAATGTAGTAATGCTTTAGTAAAACGAGATATAACAAGCTGAAAAGAAGCTTTTAGTGTTGGCTACTATACCATAAAGCTATACTTGAAGCAACATTGTAAACTTACCAGTTGGGCCCCGTCCGGTATTCCTACAAGGTGGGACCGTTGAGCAGCTGGGACTTCCATGTGAGTAGAGAAAGAGACCTGAAGAAGACCTCGAAGTGGTTTAGAAATTTAAGAAGCATACTTGTATCTTCAAATTAAGACGGCTGAGAAAGCTAAGATATGGAAGACAACCATAACGATGCTGAGGTATTCGCAAATGTTGGACTCCGAGCCAGATAGAACCACGATTATCTTTTCCGGGGGACTCGCGTACTATACACTGCATCACGGATGCCCTTGCTTTGCATTTCTCTCAGCTAGTTTCCTACCTAACGTGACCTGAGGAGTACAAATGGTAGAAGTTAACAAACCTTTTCCGCCACGTCGGATGCGAAAAGCAACTCGCGTAGGCGCTCACATGTTTCCAATAGTAAATGTTCCTCTCCAATGCGACCACTGATACGTATTACGGGGTCCTAAATAATTGTAGCTACTTGCAAGATAATTCCACGCAAGCAAAAACACATCACCTAAAAATGTCTGACATATGAGAGAATACCTTGAATGACTCTGACATAGAGTGAGGTAACGCTTGAATGAGAATGTTAGGAAAATTGAAGGAGCCGTCTTGAGTTCTCTTTTCTAACCATTGATTTAGTCCAACAATGGCAACATCGTCACGTAGTTTTTCTGATACGGCGAACATCAGAACTACTGGGCAGAATTTCTAGATCATGATAGTAATACAGATTTCTAGACTTTGAGATCAAAGCAACAATTTCAAAATGTTTGGTATAAAGACAGAATATACCCTCAGTCGGAGCCGTGCTTCTTCAACATTTGTGAGCTTGCCAGTGATTGTCACCTAAATGTGTGTCAAACGATATTAGCTCAGGAATGGAGTCGAATTTATTAAGTACACAAGAAAAGTTGCATGTGTAACTTCCACAAAGCATATTCTCTCGTGAAATTCGTACTCACTGCTTAGCTAACACGGATCTCTTAGTATATGAATGGCACAAAATAGCGCAGTTTGACGTTACTCCTGCGTTCTCTATCCGTAGCCTCAGGAAAAATGCAAAATGATATTCTACAATGGTCTATTTCAAGAAATCTCCATAGAATATCGCGGACACTTTATTTTGATCGGATTCCTGATGCTATCCACAACATGACTATATTGAAGTAGCTAACATTGTCGTTTGACTTGACCTTAAGCAGGAGTGTCTCTATCTGCCTTTTTCATCATCTTCATTTTACGGTTGTTCAGTATCATTGCTTAAGCAGGTGCAACACCTGTACTGAATTTTGAAACAGATCTAATTGTCGTTAACAGTGAGTGATATCGAAATACCTAGTCTAATGAAGCGCACAAGCAACCTGTTGGGATGGATTGATAATACGCGTGTGCATAATATTAAAATAAACAGTATAAAAAATTGAAATCTCACTTAATTCAGCTCTTTCACTCTTTTGTGTAATAAAAAAGGATAAAACTCAGCGTTGATCAATTCCTGAGCGATGAGCCATGAATTCGACTTCATTAACCATCTTTGGAGGTGAGTGAATGCGTATCTGCCCCTTACAATGGCTTGCGGTGGCCTACCGATGTATCGAGGCAGTGCTACTATCATCCCAGACGGATATGGTACCAACTTCCCGACCCTGGAGGGATGTCGGGTACAGTGAGCCATGGGCGCGACGATCGATTCCGCGTATGCGTTGCAGGGTGCGTCCGACCACTGTGCCACATGCTCCTTTTGTATAATACTGTTCATATTCTTAACCCTTTTATCTACTGCCTTTTTCTTTTTAATGACAGGGTATGTTGCGAAATATAGCTCGTATATAATGCTGAGATATTTGCAAAACTCCGGACCGCAGGTGTATGCGGTGGGGAACGAACGCGCGCTATTGTCGTTTCCGGGAAGTAGCGCACTTCACCACCACACCATCTGGGTCCTTCGTTTTGCCTGTCTCTCAGCTAGTTCTATTGATCTTTTTGCCATCAGCAATCACCCGTCAACGGGATTGATCTGGGGAGCCAATATCGGCATTGAACCCAGTTAAACTGAGGCTTAGTTGTAATCACAATCTTAACCCTTTTATTTACTGCCTTTTTCTTTTTAATGGCAGGGAATGTTGCGAAATATAACTCGTATATAATGGTGAGATATTATATACTGTTCATAATATTCTGCTGGGGTGCGTGTAGCGTAGTGATCGGAGGCGCCCTGCAATACACATGGGGCCAATCACCGCGACCCAGGCCACCAAGCTGTACATTCCTCCGGGGCCGGCAAATTGATACCAAACTTGTCTGGGAGGATAGGAGCACTGGCTCGATATACTGGTAGGCCACCGCGATTCATTGTAAAGACCAGATATGCATTTAATCACCTCCAACGATGCCTAATGAAGTCGAGCGCATGGCGCATCCATCAGAAATAGATCAACGCCGAGAGCTTTATCATTTATCCTTTTATTATTATGCTTAGAACAACGCTAATGGAATTTTTTTGAAGTCTCTGATGGATTGCTACTCATGATAGCTTTTTACTTTACTGTCCGCAGAGGCATCCTTTAGTTTAATTCAAACAGCAAGGAGAACTAAAAATTTTGAAGTGTAACGGAGCACAGTTATAGATTGAGACTAACTTGGTGAATAAAGTCCGTGTTGTCCTCATGACGATCAGGAAATTGTATTATTGTATTTGTCTCGAACATTATATTTGCACAACTTTCCGTAGTGCTTCCGATTGTCCTGAAATTTAACGCAATAATGAAAAGTTAGTATCGATGAGAATGAAGATAGGCATATACCTTTTGGTGAACATTTCCTCGTAGTCGCTATACGTGACCTCCATTGTAAGGGTAACTCGCTCAATATCAACAGCGCCCTGAAAATGTATTGAGAAAAGTGAGCAATATTTCCTGGCTCAGATGGATTTGGGGCCTCAATGATGCAGTGTGTAACACGCAAGCCCCCGGAAAGGGTAATCGTGGTTCGATCTGGACCGGGGTCCAAGTTTTGCGAATACCTCAGTGTCGTTGTAGTCGAATATGTCTTTTAAAACGAAATTCCGTTATTGAAACAATAAAAGAAGGCTTCGAGATGAGTGTTGGTAAGGCGAACTCATAAGGGACATTATTGTTGTACCAACCTGGTGCAGGCCAGCTGGCTTTATACTGCGATTGCGATAGTGCTCTATGTCTGCTCGCCGTTTCAACTCATTTAGGAGGCGTTTACGCCTATTGTCGTCGATACTCATCTAAACGCATGAAACCAGGATAACTTCTGTTTGATATGTTCTAGAAAGTGTCGAAAATTGGACAATCAGACAAGTGGTACTAAGTAATTGTCGCAAAACTACACAAAAAACCAAGATGCTACCTTTGCCGACTGTTGACTAATGTGAAAAAATTGCTCAGGCGGCTCGAGTATCTCTAGCAAAGAAGATTTGACAGTGTGATCAATCGATGGAAAGTTGTTCTCGATCAACGATCCTATCGATAGCGTCATGAGCATCTCTAACGGCTGTAGATGAGGTGGAAGAGTTGCTGTGTGAGCCACAGGTAGATGAAATGAGTGTCGTCGTGCCTACAACGAAGTAATGTTCAACTACATGTAAGCGAGACCATTTCGAGGTTCAATCTGGTGTACCATGAGGAATAGTCGTCGAACAATTTCTCCTCTTATATAAATGATTAACAAGAAGACATCAATTAAGATGGGAAGCGTAGAATGAAAGGAATGAACCAACTATCGTGTGATGACCATCGCCTTCCCGCACGGCTCCTTCTATCATGCTGAAATATCCAAACGAACGCGATTATTGTTGACGTGAAAGATGAAGCATGAGAATTCGAACGGCTATCACTCGACTCTTTCGAAACAACATTTTAGCGCTGCCGGATCCTTAGCTCGGTCGATGACAAAAACGAATGTCAGCAAACACAAAAGATATACGAGCACACGGCTCTGAAGAAGGCAAATTCGCCAAAATGCCAACAATCGCTCAAGAACAACAAGAGCAACAACAACAAGCAGACGAGGGATACAACTTTGACCGTAGCAACACAATCGGTTTCCTAGTTAACTACTGATTCAGAATAATCATGAGCAATAACAAATCATAAAATCAAATTCCACGAAATGCCGACCGGAAGGGGCAACGGAAAGCTATACTCTTCGGGTTCCATACGAAACCAACAGGGTGTACACGACAGGTCTCCATGTTTAAATAAAAGAAACGGCTATCGGTCCGTAAGTATTCGACGGAAACTCACCACATGACGGACGCCAAATGTTCCCCAAACGTAAGGAACCTGCCCCTCCTTACACGATTATTACTGAAAATGGTTTAGAGAAAGGTTTAGTAAGTACTCGTATAGCTAGTTCAGTCTTAAATACCTAAAGATATCAAATTCGATTTGCTCAAACGATATTGCAAAAGGTGAAGAGATGCTGTTGGAGGTCTTCAGTAGAATCATAATGATTACCCTCTTCAATCACTCATATCTACTATAAATTGGGAAATCTTGGACTGTACAAACCCAATAATGATCAAAATTCCATAGAAATCTTATTCTGTGAATACGATATCTTCGATACTTGGATGGCCTTTCTTCACTGGTTGTGTGGGCTCCAGTATAATTTCAATTTTTTGAGAGTTTTACCGGTTTAGCCATTGCGTTTCCCTAGAGTTCCGATGTCAGCCTGGTTAAAGCCTGGCCTAAGTCTTGACCACAAACAGGCAGTCGTTACCTTTGTGGATCAGAGGAGATTTGCCATCATGCGACCTTGATACCAGGACGGTGGTAGATCCTGCCATTGGTTTACTCTTAACTAGGCTTTCTGATGGAAACGTCAGACTCCTTCTCATTTTGGAGGACCATGCCGAGGAGATGAATCACCGGCTGTTCATTGCAACTCCAGATCCAGGAACACCTCCAAGCCAGGATAAGACGGCTAACCGTTGGGAGATGTGAATTATGTGAATATATCGCAATTTAAATACCCTTGAACTGCTTTCTTCTGTGCAATTTTACACATCCCTAAAGTTTAGGATTCTTTCTCGTCACTTCTGCTAAGATGCCGATAGAACCGCACTTGAAACCAAATGATGAGATCGTCTACGGACACACACGAAACGTTCGAAGACCACTGTGGACGGTGAACGCGAGGGGAACGGACTGAATGCAAGTGTTGCCATCCACACAGTACATACGACGACGGCTCGTGTAACAGTAATAGTAATAATAACAGTGATAATGATAACAATAAAAATAACAACCATAGGAACAACAATAACGACGACGATGATCGTAACAATTAACGATAACAACAATGATAACAGTAATACTAAGAACAATGATAAATAGGTTCTGCTCAGCGTGGGACTCGGACAGGTCGGGCGGCGCCGAGCAGCCTCCATTTTTGAATTCAACTGGAGTGGAACACCAGGTACAGTACGCGCTTGATGTGCAGGCGAACCGCTGCACGAGCCGCCTGCGCATTGTCGTCCGTCCGTCTCGTCTCCCATTCGGAACGAGGTGTACATTAATTCCCGAAGGGTTTTATTTAGAGTTCCGGTGTAGGAACACTAGGTGAAATGTTCCTCTTAGCACGCACGACCCTCATGTGGTTGTGGCGTAACGGCAGGTCCCAGCTTGCTGTACTTGTACTGGAGTTAGGAAAGAAGTAATGTTTGCTCCTGGCTTCCTCAAATTGGTTCGAATTCTGGGAAATTATAAACAAAGCAATACGCCGGCAATTGATGAGTGGTGGGAAGTGTTTCATGAGAAAGGGTTTGATTCGTTTAACTGAAATATTCTCACACTAGACAAGCATTAGCAATGCTAGTGTCAGTACAAGTACTACTAATGCTGCCAGTATTCCTAGTCCTAGAATTGTCAGTACTCCCTAATTGGCTTTTTATCCAAATCTACTTGAAAGAAAAACAAATATTTCCGAGTCACCAACTAACTTCTTATCAGTTTCTATTCGCATGAGTCGCTGCCTAACGCAAATTTCGCAACCTATCCAGTTGGTTGTCGTAGAGGTTGATCCTGGCGAAAGCTGTCTGGATGTGTCGAATTAGCGCAAGTTCTCAACCCACTGAAGTTCTATGGGTTATTTTACCCCAAAGCACGAAGATAGAGGTCTATATGGCGACTATGGAGCATTAGTTATAGCTCAGCTGTCGTTCTAAGTTTTTAGGACAAAAAACAGCTCTTAAAAGCCAAGTTATCGAGGCTTTCGTCTGTGAACAATGGTCTACTAACAATCGAGAGATGAGGCGGAAAATCTCAGAATTCGGCCGAACCGGAATGGCCGATAAACTACATATGATGAGAAGTTACATATTGTTTTCGTCAATATCTTGAAAGGCGACGGTTTTTTAGAATCGTAATCCACTTTTCCATCTTTTTCATGTTATCGTGTCTTGATAAGAATCCTGGCGATTTGAGCAGATCCGACGTTTCAAATCACCTTTGTAGTTAACGTCAGTTCTCCCAACGGTTTACCGCTCCATCTCGGCTAGGAGGTGTTCTTCGGTGTGGTGCTGCGATGTACAACGAGGGCATTTATCCGTTCGGCATGGTCTACCAAGCTGAGGAGTCCAGCGCTTCCACCAGGAAGCCCAGCTAAGCGTAAACCAACACCAACATCGACCATTGTCCTGCTATCAAATTGGTCGCGTGGTGGTAAATCTCCCCGTGATCCACAAGGGCGGCGACTGCCTGTGATGGTGCCGACCTGGGGAAAACTTTGGTCAGACTGACCTCAGGACTCTAGAGAAACACAGTGGCTAAACCAGCAGTACTCCGAAAAATGGAGAGTAAGCTTCTCTCTCTCGCTCCATGTTTCACATATAGCGTTCATACCTTTTTCGCTAGATCTGTGCTACCTTTACAAACCTTTG